TTCTATGTTAGACTGAAACCTGTGCTGCTCTCTGAACAAGTGTGTCAGTACAGATGTGCAGATGACTTCAAGACACCACTTCAACTGATCAAATTTCCTTATGCAGAAAGGGCTTCAATTTGCAACTCTTTCGCTTGGCAGGGTTTAATCTTTCTCTTGATTATAATGTAAACCTCTGTACAAGAGGCTGCACACATTTAAAAGATGGCATGTATTTGATGGAGATCATTATTTCCTCCTCTAGGAGGTTTGTAGCTCTCTGGAAGTTGAAAGCCCACATGTGGGTAGTCCATCAAGCATGTGGAGATACCAGAGAACTTAGTATCATTATGCCCCTTTTTCATGAGAAGAAATGATAGGTTTTCCTGCTTCCAGCAAGATACCCCTTTTGATTTAGGAATAGAAGACTACTTCCATTACAATACTGGAGCTGGACTGTAATTTATAACTGAATGTTAGAGGAGTTAGTCAGTAGAAAGTCAGAAGCCTCCAGGGTAATTCACCAGGAGGTAGTCAGTGCTAACATGCTGAGGATGGTGAGTTCCCACGGTAAATTCACCAAAGGACAATTTCAATTTTCTTCTCTCCTTGTTACATTGGCTTTCTTTTTTGTTCATAGAYGACTGGAATTATCTAAGGAGCTGTAGGCTCTGGACATCTGAACAGAGAGGGAAAACTCAAGACGTAAACTTGGAGCAGATCATGCCATGGCAGCTGTACATATAAATAAGGAAACTGAACTTCTGAAAGTGTGAGAAACCTCTAGACACTGGAAGAGGGTGCTTGAAATTAYGGCCTTGCTCTATGCAGGGTGAGTTTGCCACAGATGAGGCACTCCTTGTAGGGGTTATTTAATGTATGTGTGGCTTTTTAAATAAGAATGCATCAACTTAACGTGATTTAACCAGCTCCAATGTCCTTTGACTATAAAAATAATTCCTTTCCCATTCTCTTGGACTCCTCAGGAACCTTCAAAAATTCTATTTAAAGTCATGAAAAATACAAAAGAGGAACCGAACAATAAAGTCCTTCCAGTGGTTCCAGTGGTTTCGAATTTGAGAAGTATGGAAGTTAAGCATTGCAAGGTGAAATTCATACAGCAGGTGCTGGTGCTCACTGCTTTGTAGCAGAGCTGCCTGAAGGAGCATGTACCTTGTGTTTCTGTGACTCTATTTTAACCTAAACTATCTATGAAGATGGGATAGTGGTAGTCCAACCCTTTGGACATGGGAGTGCCAGGGCATGGGCACACATGCCCATTTTCTGTACCATCTTCCAGCTGGGTTTGCTAAGGTGGATATTGCAACAACAGGATCTAGCACAACTTGTCTGTCAGAGCCTGATCCTGTCCTTTGTTCAGCTCTTTTTGTTCAGACACATCGGCAGCATTCTGGGAGGGAACATGTGATGTCATTTGCCATATGTGCTGCCACCAYGGAGGGCTGCAGCAGGAAAGACCTGTCAGTGGTCAGAGTAATTCTCCTTACTCCTGTTGGCTGCACTCTAATGTACTGAAGGGAGAAAAGAAGACACGTTGTCTAGTAATTACGACCTAAAAATGATGGCTGTGCAAAGTCCACCCTTGTTTTGACTCCAAGGAGCTGCTGCACACAACACCTTCACAGATTTTCCTTAACAGGCTCCTTTTCACTTTTTCCAGGGACTTGCACTGTACTTCATTTCAGACGGATCCAGTGAATTAACATATTGTTGCTTCTGCTGGGGTAATTGGCTGCCCAGGGTCTACTCTGTTTCTGCACAAGTCTTCCCTGCTTCCCAAGCAAAAAGCATCCTTTACCTCCACCAAACAAAGCTGCAAAGTATTACCCCGAGACCTTGCTCAAAGGAACAGGGAATGGGAGGGTGGAAAGAGGAGAGGGATCCTGTTTTCAAAGGCATGTCTGGCTTCAAGGCCTCACCTATCAAAGAGGAGGAGGTAGAATTTTCCTTTTTTTTTTTTTTTTTTTTTTTTTTTTTTTTTTTTTTTTATTTTTTTTTTACCTTGAGCCGTGACTTCCTTTGCTGATTTATACAGTCTCCGTTATGGATGCAGTTGCAGAAATTTAGATCAACAAACGCCATAGCAGTAGCTCGAAGTCTATATAACTGCTTGAAATAAGCCAGCCTGTGTTAGACAGGGGTTTCAGCACAAGCTGAAACTCAATAATCCAATTCTCTTTTCTGTACTAAAAATAAAAATCTATGAATAGATAGGCATAAAAATGGTTACTGGCCTTACTTCCAAGTATAAAAAAGCCCACATGTGGATAAACCCTTAGAATTCTCTACAGCCCTGTGAGAGTAGACCACATTTTAAAACATGTTAGCAAGTTTATTTTCAAAGTTGGACCAATTTCTTAGAGTCCATGCAGTTTTGCACTTTTAAAAGATGTTATTTGGTCATGACGGACTTCTGGTAGGGAGCTGGCATCCCCTTAGGCTTAGGTTTCAAAAAAGAAATGTGGTTATGTGCAATGTCAGGAGGTAGTTTTGTATCTTAGCACACTTTGGCTGTCAAACAGGCATGAAGAGGGCAGAGACTGTCAAGACACTGGGAGAAAGGGGAGGAGGTTCAGTGGCTCTGCTGCTGCCCTCTTCAGTGACCTTGGGCAAGAAGATGGACATCCCCTTTTACATCTCCTCCTCTCCTGCTCACTTAATGCATGTGACAGTTGCCTCATTGTTTTTATGGATTTTTCTAAGAAGCAAGAATTCGGTAGCTATGTCCATTATGTCTCTTTTCATCTTCTTGGTTGTGACATTTCCTGTCTCTTAGCCACATAAATTATTTTGACTGGAAGCAAAAYGTTGCTCAAATGCCCTTTACAAAACAAAGGGCTGGAGAATGGAGGAAAGCGATGCTGGCAGAGCAGCTGGTTCATCTTGAGCCAGAGCATTGCAACTTGTAGTTTTTTGGGGAAAAAAATATTGAAGCACCTAGATCCTGTGCAATAGAGGCTGCAACCTTGGGCAGTACAGAGAGCCTTTATATAGTCTATGCTATACGCTGGTCTTAGGAAATCCTGTTTGTTCTGTAAATATGTGTGTGTGTGTGTGGAGGAAGCAGGAGGTATGATTGCTCTCCAATACTACTCTTATGTGTGCTACAGATGGAACATGGGCAGAATTTYCTAGGCCACTGATTCCCAAATTGCTCATTCCAAACTGAGATGGACAGTTCATGCGCAGATCACTGTGGGACAGGAGGCATAAATGAAGTTTGTTATGTCCTAAGGGAAAGGTCTTATGGATTTTAGGGGCTGCCTTTTCAGTCTTCAAAAGTTGAACTGGATTTATTCTGAAAAGTTTATGTTTTACATCTAGAGAAGGTGAGGAAAGGGCGAACAAGAAACATTTGTTATGAGGTTTGATTCACTATCTGTAGTACAGCTGGGCTATCTTTATGATGGACCCGACCACAGATTTGTGATTCTTTTTTTCTTTCTTGCTATATCACTTGGATAKTATCACATCACAGTCCTGAAACACTGTATGTTTCCAGTCCTTTCTTCAACAGGCTCAGGACTGGCAGTTAGAAGGTRGATGATAGGATTATGGGATGACTGAGGTTGGAAGGGACCTCAGGAAGTCTCTACAATCTTCTCCTTTGAGCAGGGTCAGCTATAAGATCAGGGTCAGCTATGAGATCAGACTAGGTTGCTCAGATTCTTGTTCAGTTGTSTCTTGAAGACCTCCAAGGATGGACAGTACACAGCTTCACGGGGGAAAAGTGGGGGGAAAAAAACTCCTTTTAGCCAATCTGAACCTCTCACCTTTCAGCTGATGCCTACGGTCTCCTGCTGACATCCCATTTGCTGTCATACTCCACAGAGTTGCTCCTTGCATAGTGAGTCACAATCTAAATCACAACAGGGGCTCATCCTTGCCCACATCCATTTGTCCATGCTGAATTTCCTGGAGTTCCTGTTTGGCCATTCCTTCAGCCTTCCCTCAAGCAATGTGGCATTAGCTGAGCTGCTGGTTACTGATCCGGTCTGTGCTCTTTTTAAAAGGACTGCCTCTGGAAAGCCTTAATATTTCTCACTGCCTTGGAGAGAAGTTGTGAGCGTGGAATAGTCCTAGTTTGACAAGGGCCTCTTCTTGCTTCAAATGGACTGGACTCCATTTGAGAGAAGGAGAAGGGGGAGAAGGAAGGGAGAAGGTTTGGCCTTAATAGATAAATTGCTGAAGCCAGTTCTGCAGAAAAAGTGCAAAGAGGTGCAGTGGTATAATTATCACAGTCTCAGTTACTCATCTGTAAAGCAAGTATTTACTTGCCACTGTGCTTTCAGTGGGGCTGTGACTGTTAAGGGCCATGAAGTGCTGAGATGCTGTAATAAGAATGCAAAGTATAATTTAACAAAATTGTCTTGCTATGCCGGCTGCACAAGAGGAAGCCCAATTCCAAGTAGCCATGTATACCTTATTGAAACAAATACACTGATTTTATTTTATGCTGTCAACAGCTGGTATACATAAGCTTGAAAAGGCACTGACAACCTATATTCTGTAATATAGGTTGACAATGTATATTCTGTAAAATCCGAGAGTTTTGGGAAAAATCTTTTTTTAATAAGATACTAATTTCAAAAAATGTTGTTTTTCATTACAGTGTAGTAGAGAAAAASATGAAAAGGGAAAAGGAAAGACAGAAAGACCTGTACAATTGTTTTAAAGGTTTTCCACTGTTCCGTTGAAGTTCTTGTCAGGAAATGAGACTGACTAATATGGGATTAGAATGAAACTGCATATCACAAGTCACTGTCAAGTGCATTAAGTGAYCGCATTGAAAAGGAGTAAAAAATGTGTTCTTACTAATGCCTTTCTAGTCCATAGGAATCTTAGCTGTGGCTTACAATTGTAGTAGGGTAAAGATTTGCATTTTAATTTGGCGGTTTTCCTTTTTACTCTTCTGTTTCCTACCAGCTAATTTGGTGCTTTGTTAACTGTGAATCTGGAATGCAAATAAACTCACCTGCTTGTTTTTCTTTCATTTTCAGGTTTTCTAACTATGGAAGATCTCCTGTGGAGTTGCATCATGCTCTGCTGCCCCTAGAACTGTGCACATATATTTGGGAGTGATGAAGAACTGCAATGTACTGCTGCATATTGCTTTAGTGATGAGAGAGGCTCTCTGGCATGTCATACAGCACCAAAATCCATTCCAGTGTTGACAGCAAAAATCCTTATCATTTTTGTATTTTTTTCCAACACAACTGAAATCTGTTGTGGATTCTTTGTATGCAAATCCAGGTGGTACTGCAACAGCAAAAACAGCCCTGAAAGCAGTCACCAAGATAAACTTGGAAAGGGGAACATTCCTGGTTATCATTTTTTTAACATTTGGTTTTCTTTTTTTAGTTCTGTGCAAGATACTTCTTTCCTCTCCCTTTCTTACAGTAGTTAATGTTTKTTCTGGCAGAGCTCTTATTATATGAATTACAGTTCTTCTTGCATTTTATTTGGCTCCATATCAATATACATGAATAAGAGGCAGAAAGTGCTGGAAATTGTCATTAACAGTCCTTGTTACTCTGCTCTGGTGTTTCCTGATGTTGAACCTCGTATTGCAAATTGCAATATGCCTGTAGTGATGATCAGTTCAGGAAGGTGTGCTCAGGAACCCAGGAAAGTAAAGAGAAATGGAAAACAAAAAGAAACGAATTCTGAARATACTTGGACTGAAGGAATCAAATTGAAGCAATATATTTTGGGTCCCTGCTGTCTTAGGTTGCTGAAGTTCAAGGAGTAAAGCCTGGTTTCTTTGGAAAATTTGGCAAGGTTTTTGACAGTGWCTTAAACAGAAGTAGGATTTGATCCTCCTGAAGCAGCTTAAGAGATGTCATGATCAACATGGCACTGAGGTGACAGGAGCTTGGTCACCTCCTTGCCCTGATGAAGCAAACTCACTTGTGCCCTGCTTATGCTGTGTAAGTATCATCAGGGCTGCAAGGGACAAAAAAAACAAAGACTCCTGTAAAAAATTCTCCAGATGGGACATCTCCGAGCAAAAGAGAACTGCAGAACTCCATGCCTGGAGACTATTCCAGTCTGCATCCAGGGATACTCTCCATGGTCCRGGTCTCATCGAATCATACTGTGGTTGCTCTGGCATTTGTGTGGGCAGTGGTGATAATTGTTGCATGTGATGCTTGTTTTGTATTTTGTGTTTTTTTTTTTTTTCTTAATGTAAAATTAACAGTCAAATTGTGTTGGTAGACTGCAAACTTGTTGGAACTTTTATCTACTCAGAATGTGAGGACAAAGGAGGGAAATTTGCTTTGACCAGTTTGGTGGCCATGCATGCAACATCTGTGAGCTGAAAGCAAAGCAACAGTCAGATACCCAAACCCATCTGGGGTTCAACTGATAAGATGTATTTAAAAGGCAAAGACAATTCTAAAAGAGCTCTGGCAAGTGGCTGAAGCCTTGAATGCTGAGTCTTTTTTAAAAAGGGGATTTCATAAGGGCTAATATGAACAGAAATGGCTCTTTTGTGGTTTTACACATTCCAGACATGCCAGGACTGTTCCTGTCAAGGATGGGCAGTCTCTGGGCTGCTTTTTTTTTTTGGTTTGGGTTGCTTTTTTCTTTTTTTTTTTCCTTCTTTGTGTTTTTTTTCTTTTTATTTTCAAAGTATTTTTTTTGCAGAATGTATTTTTGTAAAAGCATTTGCCACAAGCTAGCAGCTTAAACAGTGAAAAATAAATGAGAGCTGCAAAATCATTRCAGGATCAGTAATGGAAATTATAAGGCTAATAACTAAACTGGCTGTGGTGTTTTACCCGGTCATCTGTCTGTGCTACTGCGTTGTTGGGATCACCACTATTGCACACTATGACTGCTTCTTGTTTGATGATTTAAAAGCAGAATTTTACCTGTTGGTTACCCAAAACCTCCAAAGACCGGATGCCTTAGGCTTTTGTAGCATACACAGAAGCAATACTTTTACAGATGAACAGTTGTTAAATATGAATCCCTGCAGTGTCAATGTAGTTCTAAGATCATACAATAACTGTTGAAGGAACATTAATTTCCACAGATTCATGGGTACAAAAATGGGATATAGACATTCTAGCTCAGAACTGGGTTTCAGGCAGGCCGCATCAGGTTAGTTTGCACCTGTCTACTTGACCTAAATGAGATTCAAATTGTCTTAAGAATTTCCACTGTCAAAATGGCAGTATCTTGAATAGTGCCTTGAAACAGTCAAAGCCTCATATACAGTAAAACACGGGGTATTTGTTGTAGACCTGGCGTGTTAAGTAGGTGTTTAATTCATAAACCTGCATAACCTGTTCTTATAGGGCTACATGCTGCTCCTCTCGCTGCACTTGCAAGTGCCTCCTGGGCAACAGGAGCTCAAAGACAGTCGGAAATGCAGAGCCAGAGGCACTACTGCAGCCCGGATGGCTGGGGTGTTGTGGAGAGCGTGGCTGTAAGAGTGTGGAATTATCTGTGGAAGTCAAAACTCCCCGAGGGACCTGCATGGACACTCGGCACCTTCAGTRTTGGACTCCTGATACCACAGCCATGCAGCAAGCTTGGAGTGGGGGCAAGTCCAGTGGTACTTAACTGTGACCCTAATTTCTCAGCGACGGAGCAGGAAACTAGGTCAAGGTCTTCCTGAAGGAGGCCGAGCCATTAGGTCATAGATAACTGCTCTGAGAATTTGCTTTTCAGCCTGGCTTCTACCGTGGCAGCGAGTGAAGGCAAAGTGTGTGATACGGCAGACAAGAAAGTGTCTCTTCGAAAGTGTCAATAAACGAGACACTGTTGGAATGAACCCTCCAGCGGGGTTTTATTAAAGATGAATATGGTTATTTAGCGAGGAATGCGTGCTTGCAGGAACAGGAGTGAAATTAGGACGTGGTGCTTGGACTCCATTCCCACCCTCAAATGCACACTCATGGAATGGAGACGGGAGAAATCTCAGGGCTGTTGCCTGGGCTCTTGTAGGTCTGTGGGTGAAACAACTTTCATATCCAGCATTGTCATCAAATACTTAACTGTCTTGCAAGATATAAGGAAGGGAGAATATGTTTTTGTTTTTATTTTATTTTATTTTATTTTATTTTATTTTATTTTATTTTATTTTATTTTATTTTATTTTATTTTATTTTATTTTATTTTATTTTATTTTATTTTATTTTATTTCTAACCTGAGGGGAGCTTGATCTTGAGCCGCCTCCTCTGGTTGCCATTTTAGACTTGCTTCCTCAGGAGGAGGGAAAAAAAAAAAGAAGAAGAAAAAGTCTCCTTTAACCCTTGATGCTTCCAGCCACAGAAATCTGAAAACAAAAATTTGGAAGGTATAGTTAGCAGAGAGCTGTTTTCCTACTGTGCTTATCTCATGATGAATAGTTTRTGAAGTGGATTTCACTTTAGCCTTTCAAGGTCTCTGCTGTAGAAGTATTTATCAGTGTAAGGCCGTACTACACTTTACAAGTGGTAGGAAAAAAAATCGCTTTTATAAGTAGATTTTTTTTTCCTTTACAGGTCATACAAACGGAAAGCTGAATGTTTGGAAAATTTTTATTTCTAACAAAAATAACTTTTCCACAGTGTTATCTAGCATGGTAAAACAAGAGGACTTTGAATTGAATTTTAATGTAGATTTCATTTATATACCCACAGCAAAAGATTTCTTTGAGACACTGTAGTTATCTTTCTCTTAACATATGCTGTATGGGTGTTTCATCCTTTAAAATATCCAATTTTTCCCCTTTGGCAGTTTTCTGAAAGGGCAAAACACATAAAAATTCTTGTTTCCTCAGAAAGGATACATCCAGTTAGGCAGTAATGGAGAGATATTGACAACCTGTAGAATAGCGAGTTGGGACAGTGCGGGAAGTAGTTAGCACCTCATTTGAAGTCCTCACATCAAAGTTGGCCAGTAGGCCAGTTGAGATGTTCTGCTTGAACCACAAATTACTGGGCTTCAGGCAGAAATCGCTAGGTGAAGTTTGTGGTCTTTATTAGGCAGAAGGTCAGACAAAATCATTTTAGTGGTTCCCCTCAACTTTTAGGGCTTATGAATTGTATTCATTTTCTGAGCATAGTCAGGGATTTTTTTTTTTTTTTTGGAGTTTCCATGAAAAGATTGCCTTGGTAGGATGCATACAACAAAATCCATCAGTTTACTGAGTTTCTTTTGAATTGTCCCACAAGAAGGATAAAATTGAGCTTGTTGCTCAGATTTCAGTATTTGTGGCAAAAGCAACTCTACCTTGTTATTATGGGCCGCACGTGACCACAGCAATGGATGGTGTCTACTGCCAGCCCTGGTGCAACAAACATCTGAGAAGCAGCTCATTGGCACAGGTTTGCCAGCAACTGTCTCCCTGTTGTGCCCCTTGGGAATTGCACACCGATGATCATGCAATGAAGCAAAGAATGGAGGAAAGCRCAGAAGGCAGCAGATGTGCTTTTGTTAGTACTCCATCCGCAAGCTGCCAAACCTAGAACTGCAGGAAACTGTAAGAAACAACTTAGTTACTTGGATGTTTAGGTCTCCTTTAACCACAATCCTCACTTTTTCTTGTTGCGATAGGAGAATTGAGAAAAGCCCTGAGCAATGCCATGATTGGAGAAATGAAGAGGCAACTGAAATGCCAGAAACACAAYGGAAAGAAAAATAATGTGAAGCAATGTTGCTTTCTTTCCTGCTGTGCAACTAGAAGGAGAATGCAGGCACAAGCAAAGCACTGAATAAATTTAAGCACTTGCTACCCATGACCTTTTCCTTCCCACAGATGTGGCTGGTTCCAACTGGTTGGAGTTGTCTGGAGTCCCCGGGGTGTCCAGGGATGTCCTGTGTTTGAGATAGCTTTCCTTTTGAGGGAAAACCTCTAACATTCTTACCATCTACAGCAGGACTGTGTCCAGATCTTTACCGAGACTTTAGCAGAGATTTTCAAACTTGACTAGAATTATCAGCTAAAGTTCACTTGGTAGAGAGGGAATAAGTGGTTTTTAAGTTAGATGAAGACAACATAGCTTTCTGTCATTTTGTCAGAATCACACAGGACAGCCTCTATCTGCCAAGCRTAAACTGTCCAGTTTTCCAGATCAGGTGACTGTAACCAGGTAGTTGTTGGGAATTACATATGTTGACTTGCAGTCTACATCCAGACTGCAGATCTGGATGTAGTTTGGGAAGATGTTAGTTGTGGTGAGCCAGGAATATGCAAAGGATCAGTGTAGCAGCAGACATGATTTGAGTCTTTGCCTGGATGTATTCACTAGCACTATTTAGAATCATAGAATCCTAGAATGCCCAAGGTTGGAAGGAACCTCAGAGGTCATCTAGTCCAATTCCCCTGCACATGCAGGGCCACCTAGAGCACGTGGCACAGGGCTGCATCCAAMCGGTTTTTAAAGATCTCCAGAGAAGGAGACTCCACAACCTCTCTGGGCAGCCTGTTCCAGGGCTCTGTCACCCTCACTGTTAAGAATTTTTTCTTGAATTCCTGTGGAACTTCCGATGCTTCAGTTTGTAGCCATTTCCTCTAGTGCTATCACWGGCCACCACTGAAAAGAGGCCAGCCCCATCCTCCTCACTCCCTCCCTTGAGGTATTTATACACACTGATCAGATATTTATTAGAACAAGTATATTCAGCCCTTGTACATGGTTAAAGCAACTGGTTTAGACCTTCCCCCCCCCCCAAAAAAAAAAAAAAAAACCATTTACTGCAATTAAAATATATTGGTGTGCAGGTGGGAATCAAGAATTCAGGTTCTGTCCTAGTGAGACTCTCTTGAGAACACAATGTCAGAGAAGGAATTTAAGGGGTCATCACCCCTTGTCTGGACTTTGGCTCTCAGTGGAAGAATGCCATGTGAARGAGCTCTGCAGTTCTGGAGAGCCAGTAGAAACACAGAAATGATTTTGTCCCTTTGTGGATGCAGTTGCTGGTGTCTGCACT